TTGGTCCAGCACACTGGGTACGGCCGCGTCGAGAGAGAGAAAGGACCATCCTGGATTGAACTGGTTGGAGAGGAAATTAAAGGCACGGCTGATCGAACGGTACAGCGCACGAGATGGTAAACAAACAAAGCTGCATATGTTCCGAAAGCAGCGGTGTTGTGGCTTGGAGCACCGATGTCGGCCGTCAGGTGGGGTCTTAAAATCGCCACACCAGCACTTCAGCTTGACCGTTGGGTAGATGTATGGAATGTGGGATTGGTTTAGAGGGCCCTCCCCAGTTGACCGCATGCTCTTGAGGATGGCGTAATCGCATAGTAACGGATACCAAGAAACCACAGCCACCGCAGGGCTATTGATTACCCCCCACCGTGTAGGAGCCCGAGCGATCATAGCCAGCCACCGAGCTAGATGATAAATCCCAGAGACTTCCCACATAGTGTTCGGATCTTTATCTTCCACCGTAAACGTGCAAGCCTGGCGAGCCTTATAGGCCCTTTCCTCGAACTTACTTCGTGCTACAGTCAAGTGTCGGTAGGGCCCTTCATCTTGGGGTCCTTCAGGGGTGGGTCGTGGAGGAGGCCGTCGGAAAGGGGAAAACTGGGTCCTATCCAGGCCTTGAGAGGCTAGCCATCTTTTACAAGAGGCTCGGGTATCCTTCGCACGGGCGCTTGAGGAGGTCGGAGTGAGAAGGGGAATGCGGCCGTTCACGGGGATTCGTTCCATGTCGTCGCCTCTGGCGGCGCGTTTGAAGTCATCTAAAGTGAGAGAGGCAAGCTGGTCAAACTGCATGTTTCGAAAACTGCGAGCAATGTCGCACGTACCTCCTCGAATGCACGGCGTTGTCTGGACCAAAATCCGTGCTGACTTGGCGGCCCGCGTGGCCCAAGCTGGCCTGGTAGGTCGGGCTTGCTGGACCGTGTTGGCCAGCCAGCCGCGCACAGCTGCCACCTCCGAGCTGTGAGACACTTTGATCACCGTCGGCGCAGGGGCGGGCAGTCGCAGACTGTTGAGGTAGGCCTTCAGGGACGATCGATACCTTACCCGATCCATCACATGGGGATACAGAGTCGTAAACTTCCACACATGATACAGGAAGTCGGAACCATGCCGTCGGCCCCGACAGATGTACCCCCAAGGAATAGCGTGGGGGTGCACAGAAATCCATTTCATCATAAGGACCGTCTGACCCGTTCCCAGGATGTTGAGGGGCCCGTAGCCTAAACCCTGCGAAGTCCATTGTTGGAGGCGGCGGTCATAGAGATCACCGTATTTGCGTTGGAGAAAATGTTGCCACTTATGTCGGCCCGCGAGGTACCTAGAGAAGCCCGTATACCTAGTGCAGAGAGACGCAATACGTCGTTCATACCAAGATTGGTTTAGCACAGTTTGAGCGCCACAATGAGGTAAAGCCTGACGCCTACAGGACCGGTGTCTGCGCCTTCTGGGGGTCTCCCTGTACCTTGCCCGCAGATGCCCAAGATGGGGATTACTCAGGTTGTTAGCCGCGGGTCGCGAGTAGGCAATAAACGCGCTCTCCTGAGCGCGGGCTTGGGAGGAGGGTACAACAGCGAGAAAGAGCATCAGGAGCCAAGACGAGCACCCGGGGGCCAGCAGGAGGTACCGACTGCGCTCCCTAGTTGGGGTCCCGTTGGAAATACAGCGGAGGCCTCGTAAATGCTCACGGGAGCGCCCAACTCCACCAGAGTGCCCACTAGAGTGCCGCACCATGGAACCTTGACCCACATAGAGACAGTCGGAGCCAAGTTGGTACACAAAGCTGAGGGAACCTGGGTCGTGTCCCGAGGACCTCGGCGTAGGATCTGAAATACATTTTGCCTGCAGATAAACAAAGGTGAACAGTTCAAGCGCATGCAACAGAGTGGCATCACCTTTCCGATCAAAGGCTGAAACCAGGCGTGGTGGAAGGTTATGGATCAACTTGCGAGCCTGTTGACGCCCCTGGCGTCGACCTGTGAAAAAGGGCTCGAATACGACACAACGTGAGAGTGACCGTGAGGGCTGTGGCCACGGTCGCCACGCACGGGCTTACACCTGCACGCGGGAGGAGCTCGAGGAGCTCCTTCTGAACAAGATGCACATAGTCTATATACCGCGTGGATGGAGCCGACGCAAGAATCTGCCGCAAACCTGAAGCCACAATCATAGCCGTCACATCACCGCGTCGCTGCTGACTCCGTAGGTCGCTGTAGATTGAGATCTTGGTGGACCACCCCATCGTCGCCCGAAGTTCCTGCATCATTACTCGGAGGATCTGGGGTCCAGGTAGTGCCGAAAGAGACTGACGCGTGTCCATATGAGTACGAAGGTATTCATCACATTCACCCTGGAGAGTACCTGTACAGCCATGTACACAGACGAAAAAGAGGATTGGTCGAAGCGGGAGACGGGGGCGATGTGCAGCAAGTACGGCGAGAATAGCAAGGATCGCCTCCAGCATGAGGCGGGTGCACTTCTTCACCATGGAAGTTACAGATCGGCCAACCAGTGGCCATATTCCAACCATCGTCGAAATTGATATTGATACCACTGGGTGGACTGGAAGTCGGCATGGGCCCGTTGTAGTTCCTGCGGGGTCGTGAGCATAGCCCTGGTCGTATCGTGGTGGATTCTGTGTGTGTCCGCCACGTGGTGATGTTTCCCGTAAATCTATGATTCAGCCATCTGCTGTCTAAGGTGGCAAACTCTCAAACTCGCAGTGCCAATCCTTGGTCTAAAAGCAACTGTTCCATCAAACCCGAGAAGAACAAATGTGGAAGACCACGCTATGGAATATGGAATATGGAATACGTAGGCGGGGTGCGGTACACGCTGTCTGGACGGATCGGCGCTCCACTCTTCCCGCGTCACACTCGGATGAGTAGTCGTTATCAAGATAGCCAGGCTCCTGCAGACCAGCTCCCAAGACGTCGCCGCGGTGGAGTGCCAGGAGAGGCGAAGCCTCAATCGCCGTAGGCGTAGACAATCCCGCACGAGGTAACAATCTTTGTCACAAGCCCCAAGCGCAGGCGATCCTGTCACACGCGCAACCGAGCGAGGAGCCAATACGTGTTTGCGGCCTTTCGGCCTTGAGCGAGCTCCGAACCCCCCCGCTCAGAGGCTTTGAACATAAGGGCTGCAATGTGAAAACCCAGACGGCAGCTGTCTGGTAGGATCGCAGGCAGGAGGCGCAGGCGAGGGGAGCGAGCGAGCAGGGGCACGGCCAGGAGGCGAGAGGACGGAAGCGAAGAAGAGAACAAGCAGGGGAGAGAGGAAGAGGAAGACAGAGAACCTGCACTGGCACACCAGCAGGATCCCAAGAGTCCCAAAGACGTCGACGCGCGGATTACCCAACGCAGACGGCCCGAGACATGAAACCAAAAGAGTCAGAGCATACAGGTTCCGAGCTACTGTCCAATGAGAATTCACAAACCTAGAAGCCTGTGTGTGCTGGAATTGCATCAGAGGTCATTGAAATGAATGAAAAGGCACACGCACACACACATACACACACACACACACGCACACGCACACACACACACACACACACACACACACACACACGCACGCACGCACGCACGCACACACACACACACACACACACACACACACACACACACACACACGCGCGCGCACACACACACACATTCACGCACGCACGCACACACACACATCCATACACATTCACATTCACATAACAACTTTACATTCACATGCACATGCACGCACACATACACATACACATGAATATACACATGCACATTCACATACACACACACGCAAATAATCATCGATTCCCAGGGGAGTATGGGGAAATATGGGTAGTGTGTGTGGGGGGGGTAAGACGAGAACCCAGAAGATCTGGGAACCTCTGGGGAATCCTGGGCTCTGTGAGTACGTATCTGCGTGCGCCTGGGCCCCACTTCGTCGAGGGGGGGCGGCGGCGCCGAGGAGCCGGCTGCGCGTGGCCCAGACAGCTGAGGAAGCGCAGGGGGGGGCCCAGGCGTGCTCGCGGCGCGGCGGAGAGATCGCGGCGAGAGGTTTTCGAGCCCGTCGTCGGCGCCCTCTGGGCGTCACGGGCGAGTCGGGAGGAAAAGCCTGCCTGGCGCAAGGGACGGGGCCTCCGGGGACCTTGTGCAGCGGGGGCCCATGCCCAGAAACGCCCTGCCCGCCTCCAGGGTGCCCTGGGTTTCTGGGGTTTCGATGGTTCTGCTATGGAAAGCGAGGCGCTCCCACGCCCAAGCTCGATGGACGTCCTGGGGTTTCAGGGTCGGGTTGCTTGTGGGAGGTTTCGTGTGGTCGGGCTCCTACAGCATGGGAGCCACAAGCCAGGTCTCGCGTGTCTGGGGATTCAGTCGCGTGGGCCAGCGACGGGCCCTGTTGCCGTGCAGAATCGCCAGATCGGGCGGCAGTGGCCTCATGCCTCAGGGGGCTGCCGCCCACGATGCGTGACGGGTCCTTCCTCCATGCTAGAGCGTGCGCCAGACCTCCGCGCGTGGTGACGGCAGTCACTGTGCGGAATGCCTCTTTCATTCTTTTGGCATGCGGGGGCACTCGCCAGGCGCTGGGGCTGTCAAGCTCCAGGACGGAAGGCTATGGTTCTCCGCCGAAGGGGTCCAGACCTCCCGTGGGGGGTCCACGTGGCGATTACAAGCACGACCCTGTGGAACGGGGGAAATCGAGTGGGCCCTCGCCAGAGTAGCATCTGGTGTGGGCCCACAGAGGTCGCCCCTCGAGCACTGGCCTGCTCGTTCGGATTTGGCCACCCCGCGGTCCCCTCCGAAGCCGCGCATCAGCATTGCCCGACCTATCCCCATGCCCACTGGGCCATGGTATCTCAGCGCCAGCCCACCATCCCGGGTGGGCGTAGGCCCCATGAAACCCGAGGGACCAGGCATATCCCCACATGGGTGGGTATTTCAGCCAGTGGGGCCAAGGCCACGCCAGTGGGGATGGGGAAGTCCTTGCCTATTGTGGTCGCTCGTTGCGCGCAGCCGAACCAGGAGACCGGGGCGAGCCCGCTGTGGGCGCCAGGATACGAGCGCAGGGAGAAGAGGCCAGGCTCGGCGAGAATCGCGGCCGCGAGTGTCGAGCAGATCCCCGCGCGCTTCCTGGGCCGGGCGGAGCAGCTGCTGGGCCAGGGCCCCGAGGCTGCGTCAGGGGCTCTGGGGCTCGTGGCAGAATTGCCCATTTTGTCTCCAGACCCCCTCGCGTCGTGGCAAGAGTCACGACCCACTGTGTTCGGCAGCTCTTGGCCTCGGCGGAAGGCGGCGGACGAAAAACGAGGCCGCGTCCGCCCGCAGAAGCTGGCGGAAGGGCGGCGGAAGGTCGCGGAAGTACAGAAGGCGTCCCCAAGAGATGACAACAGTTTTGGGTTCAGGGTTTCCGGAATCCGCCGGATGGTGGGGTCATTCCAGGGTTAGCGACGCAGAACAGCGAGATCCATGCTAATCCAGCTCAGTGGCTTCGCCATCGGGCCTAATATAGCCCTAATCGTAATCGTTCCCACGCAGTGTTGTGGGCTCGACTGCGCCGACATTCTCGTGTAAGTCGCCTGCGTGAGATGGCATGTGACCGCCCTCGCGCTGGCGGCCCGTGTAAGCCACCGCGCAAGGTCGCTATGTCCCCAAACCCCCGACTTCATGATTTTTTCATGTCCCGCCCCCCAGAGGTCCGGACCCATTCCCCGGGACAGGTTTTTCATCCCGAGTCATGTTTTGCTTGTCCCGAGGCCCGGTAAGGGCCCCCAGAGGCCGAGAATGGCGAAAAACCTCCCGTCTTGTTTTTTCACAGCGCGAGGGGGTCCAGGAGGTCATCCAGCGTATGGCCCGCTTCTTTTCGCCGCTCACGCGTTGTCGGGGCACACTCCAAATCCCTGCAGGTCTGGTTTTTGCAAAGGCGGCTTTTCTCTAACTGGGGGGGTCCGGTTTATCAGAGCGCTTTTTTTGGATTGGAGCTTAGGGGGCGCCCCGTCGAAGAGGGGGGTCCGGAATGTTAGGTCACATTCGGAGCGGGGTCTGGTTTTTTAGGGGGGGGTCGATTAGTAAGGGAATTGTATGGGTTTTGATGGGTTTCTTGGAGTACCTTCCCACGACGAGGGTACTGTTAGGGGTTTTTGTCAGGGGTATTGCTGGGGTGTTTTGGAGCACCTCCCCCCGAAGAGGCGGTGCTGGCGTGGGCGGGCCTCCCCCTGGCGCAGCTGGCCCTGTGGCACCAGGGCGTCGAGGCGCAGGACCTGCGGGAGGCCGCGTGCACCGGGCCCGGGGCGGGCCCCCGGCCGGACTACGCCCCGCGCTTATACCGAGCCCGGACCCCCTTGCGCTGTGAAAAAAGATCGCGACGGAGATTCCAGGCCTCCCATGTGGGGTCGGAGCAGATGGGGTCGGAGGATCGCGCCGCCTCGCCGATGCATCGCCAATGCATCGCCGATGCGGATCGATGCGGAGCCCAAGTTTCTTTGCTCGGACGTCGCTGATGCATCGCCGACGTCGACGATGCATCGCCGGTGCATCGCCGATGCATCGCCGATGCATCGCCGATGTATCGGCGATGCGGCGCGATCCTCCGAGCCCATCTACTCCAACCCCATCTAGGAGGCCTCTAGAGGTTTTTCGTTATTTTCGGCCTCTGCAGGCTCTTACCGGGCATCGGGGCCGTCAACAAAATGACTCGGGATGAAAAGCCTGTCCTGGGGAATGGGTCCGGATTTCTCTGGGGGATCGGGCCATGAAAAAATCATGGCGTCGGGACGTCGGGCGGACTACGCTCCGCGCTTGCCCTTAAGGCGGGCGTTCTCCTCTGCAGGGGGGATATTCGAAAGTAGTAACACACCTAGTTTGGGGACGTTTTTTGGGGGGAGGGGGGGGGGAGTATTTTTGAGCATTTTTGGCGTTAAGTATTGTTTCGCTTTCATTTGAAATCCGCCTGTAGAACGACACGCCCGACAACGCGCCGTACACAGAAACTTTCTGGGCGCTCCGCGCGGTTTTCTCGGATCGGTGCCCGGGCCTCTCTCGGGCGGCGCCTCCGGCGCCGCCCTTACTGGCGCGCCGGAGGCGCCCAGGGAGGGGGGCCGGTCCAGCGCAGATCCGAGAAATCCGCGCTTTTGTTGCGTTTCTTGCGTTTTTTTTTCATTTATGCCTATTGCGTTTTTGTTTTATGTGTGTTCGTGTCTCTTGCTATTCTTCTGTTGCAGCGAGGCCGCGAGGCCCGAGCTCGTTCCGTCCGATCGGGGAGCGATCGTGGCCGAGGCTGGAGCGGGCTGGAGGTCTGCCGGCCAGGAGGCAAGGGGGGCAGGTTCGAGGTTTGGGCTCGTGGAGGTTTTTGCTGCCTCCCCTCTGCTGCCTCGGGGGGCCGCCTTTCGGGCTCCAGGGCATTCACCAGATGGGCCCCAGGAAGGGTCTCGGGCTGATTTGGAGCGGATTTGGCTTCATCCCCCCCTACTGGCCGATGCTCTGGGGTCCCAGCCAGTTCAGACCCTCGGGCCGCTTCCAAGGCTTGCCAGGTCCGTGGCTTGTCGTCGCTCGGACGTGTGCATTTGTTCTCGGCGAGGACCATCGAGAAGATCACGCGCGGAATCGAACAATGCACGGGGAATGGACGTCTGGGCGTTGGCTGAAGGTGGCGATCGACCAGGCGGCGACAGCGCGCCTGCCACCTTGGCAGACCGGGCGGGCGGCAGGCGCGCGCGACTGTATAGCTGAGGCCTCGAAGCTGCTGGCCCAGGTCCTGTGGCAGGCCGAGCTCTGTAAGGGCTCCGGGGAGGCTGCGGAGTGGGCGGCGCTGCGCGAGCGGCTGCGGCCGCGCCAGCGCCCCGCACAGAGGAGGCTCCCGATCCGTCGATCGGAGCTCGGCCAGCCCGGAGGTCCAATCGATCCGGCCACCGGCCTGGGCCGGGGCGGTCGATCGAGCGGTCGAACCTCGGACTGAAGTCGGGCCTGTCCCTCCACAGGAGGAATATTCCAAAATAGTCAACAAATAGTCTGGGGACGATGTTGTTTATTAGGCTTTTTTTGTGGACTATGTTTAAACGTTCGTCCAAAATCCGCCTGTAAGGGGACATGCCCGACCTAACCTCAGACCTCCCACGACGCGAGCAAACATGTCAAGGCCCAGGGTTTTGGTGATCTGGTTGCCTCTGCAGGGGCCGTTGGCGCCGCTGGCGTGCCCCGAGAGGGCCTTCAAGAAACAGCTCGGGATGAACTGGCGGTGCCCCCGGGACGGAACGGGCTCGATCCTTTCGGCGACTCCAGGTTGAGCGCAAGCATGAAGTCGGAGGCCTGGATCAGCAGGGTGCTCCGCGCTGTGGGGTGGATCGGCTCGCCTGGGTCCAGGATCGGGAGCAGCTCGCGGAGCAGCCAGGATCGGGGGGGGCGGCTAGACGGGGCTTGGACGACGATCAATCCGTTCCAGAGCGTTCTGGGACGCTCTGAGAAGGCCGCGGCGCCCGAGACCTATCCTCCAGAGCCGCCGGCTCTCAGAGATCTTCGATTCATCCTCACCCGATTCTGACCTCGTCCTGGCTATTCGTCTTGGGGGGGTTCTCCTGAGGTGCTCTCCCAAACCGCCTTGGCAGGCACACCAGCATGATGGGCCTGTTTTCCACCACCACCATAAGTTGGAGGGGGAGGGGGTCCTCCTCCTCCTCCTCCGCCTCCTCCTCCTCCGCCTCCTCCTCCTCCTCCTCATCTTCCTCCTTCTCCTCCTCCTCTTCCCTCTTCCTCCACCTCCTTCCCCCCTCCAACTCATGGTGGTGATGGTGGAAAATAGGCCCATCACAGAATTTGCCGACGACGCTGGGCGCGCCCGCCCGCATCGTGACCCCCGAGGCGCTGAGCGGCTCGCCGCCGGGGCCGCCCGAGGGCTGCCCTCTGGCGCTCTGGCGCTCTGCCTGCCCAGCCACCGCCTCGTGCTACAAGGCGTCAAGCAGGGGATGGACTTCAGAATCTTCTTCTACTGCTCCACCTCCTTTCACTCCTCTTCCTCCTCCTCCTCCTCCTCCTCCTTTTACTCCTCCTCCTCCTCCTGCTCCTTCTGCTGCTCCTCCTCCTCCTCCTCCTCCTCCTCCTCCTCCCCTTGCTACTCCTCGTCGGATCTGCGAACATCCTCTACGCGTTGGTCGTGGACTCGACGAACGAATCAGTTTTTGGGCAGATCCATTCCGTAGTCGCCCCCCCTAGGGCAGAAGAACCACACTCACGGCGAGCGCCCCGACAAGCGAAAAGACCATCAGCAAGCGCACCTCAGGAAGGGAGGATCGCACAGGGGCAGGGCTGCTCGGCAGAGACGCCCAGGGCTGTGCAGCCAACGCCTGCTGCAGGGGATCGGGGTGGGACCTCTCCGCTCTTGGCAGGAGGCGCTCCCGCTGGTGAGCCCCGCCCGCGCTGCCCCCGCGGCCGCGGAGCGGGAGAGGCCGCCGCCCCCGCCCGCCCGGGCGGGCGGCCTGGGCGCCGCGCGCCCCGCGGCGGCGCCGGCGCGCGTGCAGAAGCAGGCCGAGCGCTCCCAGAGGTGGAGGCAGAAGGAGCAGGTGCTCGAGGAGGCCCCGGCGCCACCCACGCACGCTCCTACTCGGGAGCCTTGAGACGGGGGTCAGTGCAAACGGGGGTCAGCCAGAGCGCACGATCTTGCAGGATCCTGCAGGGTCAGGGTCGCATTGGCCCGGGTTTGTGTGCAGGATCTTGCAGGATTTTGCAGGATCCTTCGCATTGACACGAGCTTGGATGCAGGATCTTGCAGGATCGTGCAGGATTTTGCAAGGCCTGACTGACCCTGGTCTGGATTGACCCGGGTCAGAAAATCCCCGACCTACGATGTGTGCGCCGCCAGCAGCCCCAAAAAACACCAGAAGGATAATACAGTTCGGGGTCTCGGGGGGATAATAAACGAATTGTCCCGGCAAGTCGCACGAGTAAGGTATGACGAGGAAACAGGAGGTTGTCGTCGTCGTCGCACGAAGAGGACGACGACGTCGACGACGACGACTACGACGACGAGGAGGAGGATGTTTCCCGCAGTCTTTCTCGTGAGAGGCCTAACGCTTGCCCGCACTCTGTAGATCCTTGGTGCTCCTCGCCAGGAAGTCTCTCTTGCGAACAATCTCGAAGAACTCGCTCATGCAGCCTCGGCCCCGTTTGAAAACGTAGAATTTGCCTGGCGAAAGACCGAAGCACTTGTGAAAACCGTTGTTGTTAGTATCGCCTTCGGTGGATCTCCTTATGGGGCCAGGAAGCGCGTGAAGGTGTGCCAAAACGGGGCGGGGCCGCCATGCGGGCGCTGCCACTGGAGCCTCTGGTGAAGCCACCTGATGGTGCCACGAAACGTGTGAGGGATGTGCCAAAATGGGGCGGCACCGCCATGCGAACTGCGCCAATGGGACCGTAGGTGGAGCTCCCTATGGGGCCACGAAGCGCGTGCGGGGTGTGCCAAAATAGGGCGGCGCCGCCATGCGGACTGCGCCACCATGCGAACAGGACCTCAGTCGGACCTCCCTGACATGGGGCCACGCAACGTTTGAGGGGTGTGCCAAAACGGGGCGGCGCCGCCATGCGGACTGCGCCACTGGGACCTTCGATGGAGCTCCCTATGGGGCCACGCAACGTGTGAGGGGTGTGCTGAAATGGGGCGGCGCCGCCATGCGGACTGCGCCACTGGGACATTAGGTGGAGCTCCATATGTGGCCACGAAACGTGTGAGGGGTGTGCCAAAATTGGGCGGCGCCGCCATGCGAACTGCGCCACTGGCACCTTAGGTGGGACTCCCTATTGGGCCACGAAACGTGTGAGGGGTATACCAAAAGTGGGCGGCGCCGCCATGCGGACTGCGCCACTGGGACCTTGTGTGGACGTCCCTAATGGGGCCACCAAACGTGTGAGGGGTGTGCCAAAAGTGGGCGGCGCCGCCATGCGAACTGCGCCACTGGGACCTTCGGTAGAGCTCCCTGTGAGGCCACGAAGCGCGTGAGGGGTGTGCCAAAATAGGGCGGCGCCGCCATGCGAACTGCGCGAGTGGGGCCTTAGATGGAGCTCCCTATGGGGCCACGAAGCGCGTGAGGGGTGTGCCAAAACGGGGCGGCGCCGCCATGCGAACTGCGCCACTGGGACATTAGGTGGAGCTCCCTATGGGCGCACGAAACATGTGAGGTGCGTGCCAAAATGGGACGGCGCCGCCATGCTGACTGCGCCAATGGGACCTTAGATTGAGCTTCCTATGGGGCCACGAAACGTGTGAGGCGTGTTTGTGTGTGTGTGTGCCAAAATTGGGCGGCGGCGCCATGCGGACTGCGCCACTGGGACCTTAGGTGGAGCTCCGTATGGGGCCACGAAGCGTGTGAGGGGTGTTCCGATATGGGGCGGCGGCGCCATGCGAACTGCGCCACTGGGACCTTAGATGGAGCTCCATATGGGGCCACGCAACGTGTGAGGGGTGTGCCAACGTGAGGGGGTGACGCGAGGAGGACGGAGAGGGCGGGGGCAGCGGGTGGGAGGTGACGCGGGGCGCTGTCTTTTCAAAACGAGGACCCAACACTACAGGATGGTTGGAAAAACGCTTGGTAAGTACACCATCAAATCGGTCACCATGGCCCTGCCACACGTTCCTGACTCGGGAAAGGGCTGAGAAAGTGAGAATCCCATAGACCTGCCACGCGTTCGTGACTTGGGAATGCTGAAATGGTGAGAATCCCAAAGCCCTGCCACACGTTCGTGACTTGCGAAAGCTGAAATGGTGCGACCCCCATTGCCATGCCACACGATTTTTTTATGATGTTGCTAGTCGGTATAAGAAGATTGCAACTTCGATCCGCAACTTTCCCCAGCGATAAGAAAGTTCGGCCTTGCCGCCCCTCTCCCCCGACCAAATCTGTACTGGCCAGGGACAATCAGCTCTCAGGTGGGAAGGGGGGGATGCCTTATCATCCGGGACACAGGGTCATGCTTTAGTATGGAAAGCGGGGACGATAGCGACATTACATCGCAGCGCAGCGTCGTCATCAGGCGTCGTCGCTAACTCGAGGGCGCGTCACCAGCATCGTCATTATCACACCCGTCGCATTTGCAAGCAGTTGATTCTTTCCCCCCCCACCCCCCCAAACACCTTATCACTTGAAGGGTGGTCGTATAGATATGACCTGGTCGGACGTACTCCTCCAAAGAGGACACATCGTGCCAATATGTCCCTCTGCTTCGCGAGGCCAGCCGCGCTCGCTCGCAGCAGCTCGACGACAGGCGGGAGAAGGTCCGAGGCTCCCCGAATGAGGTCAGAGGAGATGGGGTCGGAGGATCGCGCCGCATCGCCGACGCAGCAGCTTTGCGGCTCGATGTGAAGCCCGATTTTCTCCACGCCGACGTCGCCGATGAATCGCTGACGTCGCCGATGCGTCGGCGATGCGTCTGCGATGCGCTGGCGATGCGGGGCGATCCTCCGAGCCCATACGGTGGGGGGCGTTGGTTCAGGAAGGTGCCCGAGAGGCTTCAGACCCTAGAGGATTCCTTGCCTGATGAGGGCGGCAGTGATATCCATGGCCAACCCACGACTGGAGTTCCGCCAGCTTCTGGACCCTGGTGTTCTTATCCAATGGTTCCTTGCCCAGCGCCCTCACCGTCTTAGCTGCCATGATACGCCCGTTTTGAAACACAACACGTGTCGTATCCGAAACGTCCGTGTTGACACCGTCCGCGTTTTGTTCAGCGTGTCGCCCCACGTGTTGGCGAAGGTAGCGCGCTGGTCGTACGTGTTCAATCTTCGTGTCGAGTTCCGTTTCAACGCGCACCGGGTTGCATGTTCCGTATCGGGACAGTTTACCCAGACCCCCGACGTCATGTTTTTTTTTGGGTTTTTTTTTTCATGACGCAACTCCCAGAGGTCCAGACCCATTCCCCGGGACTGGTCCTTCATCCTGTGAGTCGTTGTTTGACGATCCCGAGGGTTGGTGAGAGCCCCCAGAGGCCAGAAATAGCGAACAACCTCCCGTTGTGATTCTCAGGGCGCAAACATCGCAGAGCGGATTCCGTTCGGAAACCGATAGGGTGGGCCCGGGGTGTCTTGGAGAATTTCCGTTCCGGATTTCGAGGTGAGTTTCGCGCGGATTTTTGTTTGGCCAGGAATGAACTACAGCAAATCCACGCGAAACCCACTTCGTTTTTCACTCGCCGTGTTCGGGGTATTGCATCGACCGAAATCCGCGCAAAAATCCGCTCCAGCTCGTCTGCAAGGTCCTGGCATCGCTCGGACGTGTGCATTTTTCCTCGGCGAGGACCATCGAAGACCATCCTGGACCATCGAGCAAACAAAAACACGCACGAAACGGAGCGATGCCAGGAGGTCGGTGCAGTGACAATTCGAGGGGGTCCGGGTAGCTCATCGTCGCTCCGCGGACCCCGCGTGGGGAGGCCTCTCCCAAGGCGGCGCTGCTGCGAGGCGCGCACGGCGCCCGCGCCGAGCGCAGGCAGCTCGAGCTGCAGCGGCAGGCGGCGGCGTGCCGCGCTGCGCTGCGGGAGCGGGCCGAGCTCGGCGGCGAGCGAGGGGGGGAGACGAGAGGGAGAGGGCCCCCTCCCCTCCTCCTCCTCCTCCTCCTTCTCCTCCTCCTCCTCCTCCTCCTTCTCCTCCTCCTCCTCCTCCTCCCCTCCTCCCCCTCCTCCTCCTCCTCCCTCCTCCTCCTCCTCCTCCTCCTCCTCCTCCTCCTCCTTGTCCTCCTCCTCCTCCTCCTCCTCCTCCTCCTCCTCCTCCTCCTCCTTTCCCCCCCTCGCTCGCCGCCGACGAGCGGGACCACCTGGCCTCCGAGCGGCGGCGTGGGGCCCTCGAGCGGCGGCGCTCCGCGACGGCCCAGGCCGCGCGGGCCGTGCGCGAGTTCACGGGCTGGCAGGCGGCGCGGCTGCAGCGCATCCAGCAGCTGCAGCGCAGGTCAGGAGGAGGAAGCCCAGACCCCCCCCGTGTTGCGCGACAAAGAATCACGCCGCGAGGTTTTCCGCCACTCCTGGCCTCTGGGGGCCCTTACCGGGCCTCGGGACCGTCAAAGAATGACTCAGGATGAAAAGCCGGTCCCGGGGAAAAGGGTCCGGACCTCTGAGGGTCGCGTCACGAAACAGTCACGACGTCGGTTGTCTGAGAAAGGAGGCGATGCTGCTCGCGTCCTGACAACCATCAGGGTGGGGAGGTGTTTGACCGTTATGGGCCCTGGGTGCCCTCACCGGGCCCCCTGGGACCGTCAGAAAAACTGCTCAGAAAGAATAGACGGTCCTGGGGAAATGGTCGGAAATTTCGTGGACTTCGTATGGACCAAACAAGGACATCGCATGTCTGGGAAGGTGCTGGTACTGCTATCCTTCCCTCGCCATCGCGGCCGGTTTCGCCCCGAAATGCTGGTCAGAACGGGAACGCATCCTTGGAGAGGATTCTCTGCACTCCGCCCTGGTGTGTCTGGCCACGCAAGCCAGGATTCCCTGTGGCCTCTCCCTCGGCTGCCGAGGGAGACAGATCCCGTCTGATGCTCACCACGGCAGCCAGGTCTCACAGTTCAAGTGGTCGACCCTCGACCTCCACGTTTTGCACCTTCCAGACGGCAGATGCCGCGCAGCGACGGCCGCTAGAGCGGCCACGGTCGAGGCTGCCGTCGAGGCCGCAGCGGCGGTCTCCGCGGTCTCCGCGGCCGCGCCGCGGCGGCAACCGCTGTGCGGAAGGCTGGGAAGGCGGAGGTCAAGGGGAAACGGGGGGAGAAAGAGCGGCATCGGCACTCCTTTGCCCACCCAGCAGGGAGCAGCGCCGCGAGCGCAGGCGCTCGGACTCCCCCGGCCCTCACGCCGAGGAACGCGCCGACTCGCACAGCCTGTCCGGCCTCGGCCGCACGCCATCCCCCCAGCGGAGCCGCGAGGACGCGCGCTCGGCCTCCCCCGGCCGGCAGGCCCGATCGCCCAGCCTTTCCGGCCTCGGCCGCACGCCATCCCCCCGGCGGAGCCGCGAGGACGCGCGCTCGGCCTCCCCCGGCCGGCAGATCAGCTCGCCCAGCCTGTGCGGCCTCGGCCCGGCGACCCCGCCACGGCGGAGCCACGAGAGGATGTGCGCGGCGGCGTCGCCTGGCTCTCTCGAGGAGGACAACAACACAGATCCACCTCGTTATCCCCCCCGCCCCCTCCCTAAAGAGGAGGAAAACTTTCAGAGGAGGAGAGGGGAGGGAGGAACAAGGCGGTGGATCTGCGCAAACGTTCGATTCCCAGGCTCGGGCGGCCCTCGCACCCGTGCGACCGAGCCCTTCTTCTGCGGCTCGCCGGCGCCGCCTCCGCGGGCCAAGATGCCCTGTGCTCCGTTCCCGTCGCCCCGCCGCGACGGGCTTGGCCGAGACGGCCGCTCCGAGCCGCCCCGGCGCGCGACGCCCGCGCGGCCGCAGGCTTCGCCGCAGTGCCAGCAGGCGGCGCCGGAGCGGACATCGGAGCCGCCGCCCTCACCAGCATACCCGTGCGCCGTGGAGCCTCCCCGGCGGCGTTGCGCGGGGCCCGCCGCGAGGCCGCAGTCGGCGCGGCTGGCGCGGGGCCGGAACCTGTTGCCCACGACGCCGCGCCAGCGGATCGACGCCGCGGGGAACAGCGACGCCCTGCCTCCAGCACCTCGCCCACAGGAGGCAGGCGCAGAGCGCGCCTCCAGGGTCAACACAGAGGATCAGCGCCAGAAGCGCGAAGGGCCGGGCCGAGCCCGCAGCTCCGACCTGCTCTTGCAGGCGAAGCTCGAGCGGCCACAGGCTCCGCAGCAGTGCCAGCAGGGGGCCTTGGGGGCCACACGGGAGCCACCGCGCACGCCTGGCGGGGCTGCGCGCAGGCCCGGTGCCCCGGGCGGGGCCGAGCCCGTCCATCAGCGCTGCGCGGGGACCGCCGCGAGGCCACAGTCGGCGCGCCTGATGCAGGGCCGCGAGCGCCTGCCCGCGACGCCACGCGAAGCCAGTGGGGCCACTTGGGCCGAGTCGCCCATACACTCGACATCAGAGAGGGCGGAGGCTGATGGGCCTGTTTTCCGCCACAACTACCATAAGTTGGAGGGGGGAAGGAGGAGGAGGACGAGGAGGAGGAGGAGGAGGACGAGGATGATGAGGAGGAGGAGCAGGATGAGGAGGAGCAGGAGCAGGAGGAGGAGGAGGAGGAGGAGGAGGAGGAGGAGGAGGAAGAGGAGCAGGAGGAGGAGGAGAAGGAGGAGGAGGAGGAGGAGGAGGAGGAGGAGGACCCCCTCCCCCCCCAACTTATGGTGGTGGTGGTGGTGGAAAACAGGCCCATCAGAGGCTGCGCCGCAGCACCAGCCGGCGGGACCAGAGCCGACACGAGAACCGCAGGTCACTCCCGGCGGGGCTGCGCGCAGGGTGGGGTCCCCTCGCGGGGCGCAGCCTGCCTGGCGGGGCCGCGCGGGGCCCGCCGCGAGGCCACAGCCTGCGCAGCTGGCACAGATCCGCGAGCTGCTGCCCGCGGCGCCACGCGAGGCCAGTCGGACCACTCGGGCCGAGTCGCCCTTGCAGGCGTCACCAGAGAGGCCAGAGGCTGCGCCGCAGCACCAGCAGGCAGCGCCAGTGCCAGTGCCAGAGCCGCCGTCCACGCCTGGCGTGGCTGCGCGCAGGTCGGGATCCCCAGGCGGGGCGGAGCCCGCCCAGCGGGTCTTCCAGCAGTGCGCAGAGCTGGCCGCTGATCGCGAGAGCCGCGTGTTGTTACCCGCGACGCCACGCGAGGCCAGTGGAGCCTCTGGGGCCGAGTCGCCCCAGGCGGCATTAGAGATGCCGGTGGCTGGGCCGCAGGACCAGCAGGCAGCGCCAGTGCCGACACCAGAGGCGCCGTCCACGCCCAGCGTGGCTGCGAGCAGGTCAGGATCCCTGGGCGGGGCGGAGCCCGCCCAGCGGGTCTTCGCGGAGCCCGCCGTGAGGCCACAGTCGGCGCAGTTGGCAGAAGGCCTCAAGGTGTTACCCGCGACGCCACGCGAGGCCAGTGCAGCCTCTGAGGCCGAGTCGCCCCAGGCGGCATTAGAGATGCCGGTGGCTGGGCCGCAGGACGAGCAGGCAGCGCCAGTGCCGACAGCAGAGGCGCCGTCCACGCCCAGCGTGGCTGCGAGCAGGTCAGGATCCCTGGGCGGGGCGGAGCCCGCCCAGCGGGTCTTCGCGGAGTCGGCGCAGTTGGCAGAAGGCCTCAAGGTGTTACCCGCGACGCCACGCGAGGCCAGTGCAGCCTCTGGGGCCGAGACGCCCCAGGCGGCATTAGAGATGCCAGTGGCTGGGCTGCAGGACCAGCAGGCAGCGCCAGTGCCGACACCAGAGGCGCCGTCCACGCCCAGCGTGGCTGCGAGCAGGTCGGGATCTCTGGGCGGGGCGGAGCCCGCCCAGCGGGTCTTCGCGGAGCCCGCCGTGAGGCCACAGTCGGCGCAGTTGGCAGAGGGACGTGAGCTCTTGTGTCCGACGCCGAGCGAGGCCAGTGCCCTTTCGACGGCCCCTGACGCCGCCGACGCCGCCATGGCCAGACTCTCCCAAGAGTTAATGGCGGAGCCGTTGGAGCAATTCGCGGAGCTGGCCGCTGATCGCGAGAGTCGCGAGCTGCTGCCCGCGACGGGACTCGAGACCAGTCGGGCCACTCGGGCAGAGTCGCCCTTACAAGCGACATCAGAGAGGCCAGAGGCTGCGCCGCGGCACCGGCAGGCGGCGGCAGTGCCGACACCAGAGCGGCTGTCCAAGTCCAGCGTGGCTGCGCGCACGACGGGATCCCCGGGCGGGGCGGAACCCGCCGTGATGCCACAGTCGGCGCAGTTGGCAGAAGGCGTCGAGCTGCCGCCCGCGACGCCACGCGAGGCCCGTCGGGTCACTGGGGCCGAGCCGCCCTTGCAGGCGACGTCAGAGAGGCCCGAGGCTGCGCCGCAGCACCAGCAGGCGGCGCCAGTGCCGACACCAGAGGCGCCGTCCACCTCCGACGGAGCTGCGCGCCGGTCGGGGCCCACGGGCGGGGCGGAGCCCGCTCAGCGGGTCTGCGCGGAGCCCGCCGCGAGGCCGCAGCCGGCGCAGCCGGCGGAGGGGCGCGAGCTGCTGCCTCCCACGCCGAGCGGGGCCAGCTCGGTCTCGACGGCCCCTGACGCCGCCGACGCCGCCGTGGCCAGGCTCTCCCAGGAGTTGATCGCGGTGCCGCTCCAGCAGCTCGCAGAGCTGGCCGCGGATCGCGAGGGGCAGGGCGGCAGCCCTGCGAACTCTGCCACGGTTGCTGTCGACGACCCGAAGGACGGGGGGACAGAGACAGACACCATGCTCTCACACCCGGAGCGAGGCGTACGAATGTAGAATATGCTCGGTAGGGGTTGGGGGAGGTGACCGGATGTTTTTGTTCAGTTCTGCATGCTTTTTCCCAACCCTCCTTGGTTGGGTATTCGTTTTAAATAGAGCAGTGTGGTCTTCACTCCTTCCTTCCTTCCTCCTCCCTCCTCCCTGCCTCTTCCTGTCTTGCCTGCGGGGGGCTGCGATCTGTGAAACTGTCGCCATTTTCGAGGCCTGCTGGGGGGCCCTGCAAAGTGAGGGCGACGCGCGGATTCAAATTTGACCTCGCCATCCCTGGGGGGGTTGCGATCTGTGAAACTGCCGCCATTTTCGAGGCCTGCTGGGGGGCCCAGCACAGTGAGGGCGACGCGCAGATTCAAATTAGACCTCGCCATCCCTGGGGGGGCTGCGATCTGTGAAACTGTCGCCATTTCGAGGCCTGCTGGGGGGCTCAGCACAGTGAGGGCGACGCGCAGATTCAAATTAGACCTCGCCATCCCTGGGTGGGCTGCGATCTGTGAAACTGTCGCCATTTTCGAGGCCTGCTGGGGGGCCCAGCACAGTGAGGGCGACGCGCAGATCAAATTAGACCTCGCCATCCCTGGGGGGCTGCGATCTGTGAAACTGTCGCCATTTTCGAGGCCTGCTGGGGGGCCCAGCACAGTGAGGGCGACGCGCAGATTCAAATTAGACCTCGCCATCCCTGGGGGGCTGCGATCTGTGAAACTGTCGCCATTTTCGAGGCCTGCTGGGGGGCCCAGCACAGTGAGGGCCACGCGCAGATTCAAATTAGACCTCGCCATCCCTGGGGGGCTGCGATCTGTGAAACTGTCGCCACTTTCGAGGCCTGCTGGGGGGCCCAGCACAGTGACGCCACGCGCGGACCCAAATTAGACCTCGCCATCCCTGGGGGGCTGCGATCTGTGAAACTGTCGCCACTTTCGAGGCCTGCTGGGGGGCCCAGCACAGTGACGCCACGCGCGGATTCAAATTAGACCTCGCCATCCCTGGGGGGCTGCGATCTGTGAAACTGTCGCCATTTTCGAGGCCTGCTGGGGGGCCCAGCACAGTGAGGGCCACGCGCGGATTCAAATTAGACCTCGCCATCCCTGGGGGGCTGCGATCTGTGAAACTGTCGCCATTTTCGAGGCCTGCTGGGGGGCCCAGCACAGTGAGGGCGACGCGCGGATTCAAATTAGACCTCGCCATCCCTGGGGGGCTGCGATCTGTGAAACTGTCGCCATTTTCGAGGCCTGCTGGGGGGCCCAGCACAGTGACGCCACGGGCGGATTCAAATTAGACCTCGCCATCCCTGGGGGGCTGCGATCTGTCTGTCAAATTAGACCTCGCCATCCCTGGGGGGCTGCGATCTGTGAAACTGTCGCCACTTTCGAGGCCTGCTGGGGGGCCCAGCACAGTGACGCCACGCGCGGATTCAAATTAGACCTCGCCATCCCTGGGGGGCTGCGATCTGTGAAACTGTCGCCACTTTCGAGGCCTGCTGGGGGGCCCAGCACAGTGCGCCACGCGCGGACCCAAATTAGACCTCGCCATCCCTGGGGGGGCTGCGATCTGTGCAACTGTCGCCACTTTCGAGGCCTGCTGGGGTGCTCAGCACAGTGACGCCACGCGCGGACCCAAATTAGACCTCGCCATCCCTAGGGGGCTGTGATCTGTGAAACTGTTGCCACTTTCGAGGCCTGCTGGGGGGCCCAGCACAGTGACGCCACGCGCAGATTCAAATTAGACCTCGCCATCCCTGGGGGGGCTGCGATCTGTGAAACCGTCGCCATTTTCGAGGCCTGCTGGGGAGCCCAGCACAGTGTTGCCACGGGCAGATTCAAATTAGACCTCGCCATCCCTGGGGGGGCTGCGATCTGTGAAACTGTCGCCATTTTCGAGGCCTGCTGGGGTGCCCAGCACAGTGACGCTGGACCCAAATTAGACCTCGCCATCCCTGGGGGGCTGCGATCTGTGCAACTGTCGCCACTTTCGAGGCCTGCTTGGGGGGCCAGCACAGTGACGCCACGCGCGGACCCAAATTAGACCTCGCCATCCCTGGGGGGTTGCGATCTGTGCAACTGTCGCCACTTTCGAGGCTTGCTGGGGGACCCAGCACAGTGACGCCACGCGCGGACCCAAATTAGACCTCGCCTTCCCTGGGGGGCTGCGATCTGTGAAACTGTCGCCACTTTCGAGGCCTGCTGGGGGGCCCAGCACAGTGACGCCAGGCGCGAACCCAACTTAGACCTCGCCATCCCTGGGGGGCTGCGATCTGAGATCACCGCTTTCGAAGTGGCTAGGGTTGCTCAGGGATTGTAACTAATCAGCTTTATCTAGTCCTTGTCCTGTAGCGAGTGTCCTGCGAGTCTCCCGAATTCCGTCTGCAGACATATATATATATAACCCTCGCTCCGTCATCGCTCCCCTTATAAAGTGTCCTAAACTATTTGCGCCCCGCGTTTGCGCAGGGGTTGGGTACGTTGCCAGGGTAATTTTTGCAACCTGGGGAAGCGTACCCTCGAATATTCCTCGGTTTGTAAGTTTTTTGACCGTTCGTTCCGGTAAGGCTGGGGTTCCAGGCCATGCCGTCCTGGGTTCACCACGGGCTCCTCGATAGGCCAGGAGGCGAAGGTCGGGTGAATCCTCGGACGGGCCCCTGGGTGGCCGTCTGGTGTGGGGCCTTCTTTGGCCAGCGGAGGGGCTCATGTTCGAGTGGTGTGGTGCTCTGTCCCCGCTGGGGCCGCACGCGCCCGTCCTCCCCCAGGCGGTCCCGCCGGCCGAGGGGCCGCGAGCGCAGCAGCTCTGCCCTGGCGCGCCCGAGGCGCCCGGGGAGCAGTCCGCTGCGGTGTTCCCTGGGACCGCCTGCGACCTGCTGAGCGACACGGACGACAGCGAGGCCGACGAGTTCTTGTCGTCCCTGTCGGGCGCGGGCGACCAGCAGCCCGAGCACCGACCCGAGGAGGCCCTGCTGCACCCCGGCCCGAACGCCGGGGCCGGAGATCGGCAGGGCATGCCGTGCTAGGGTGGCCGTCATGGCGCGCGCAGGTTGCACTCACTCTTCAGTCGGGCGTGTTCTTCTACAGGAGGAATATGCAAAAATAGCCAAAACATCGTACTGGGACGATGTTTTGGGGTAGTTTTTGATTATGGGTACTGTTTGAATATTTTTTTGTGTTTCGTCCAAAATCCGCCTGTAGGGGGACGTGCCCGACCTAAACTCACTTAGTCGATGAGCTTTTTCTGTGCCAAGGGCTCCACCGGGCAGGGCGCGGGGGCTCGCTGAGCGAACCTGGTTCGGCCTGCTCCCGCGACCAGGCCGCAGCGTGCTCCCTCGTGTCTCTTGTGTCGTCGTCTGCACTCGCAGCGCGAGATTGCGGTCGGTTGCCGTGGAGAAATTATCAGGCTGCCGCGCCACTCGCTGGCGTTCCCGTCCTCGTCGTCCTCCGGCCCTTGCAGGACAGCGAGTGGACGCTCCCCGTATCAGCAGGAGTAGCAGGAGCATCAGCATCAGCATCAGCAGATTGTCCCAAGGAGTCTCTTCGAAGCAGCGCTGGCCAGCGCCGCAATAGGGGGCCAGCCAGGATTCCCCCCCTCCCGCGTCCAGCCCGCTCATGCCGTCCTCCTTCTTCCCTCCTAACCTCTCTCCTTTCTCCTATGTCTCCCTCCTCCCTCCCCCCATTCGCTGTCCTCCCAGTAGCAGCACGGGGACTCAGGGGGCCTACCTTCTACTTTCTCCATCTTCTTCCGTACTCCTAATTTCCTCGTCCTTCCTCCTCCCCACCCCTCCTCCTCTGCCTCATTCCCCGGTCCGCTCTCTTCTCCACTCCTCGCACTCTTGCTCTCTAGTGTTCCTTCTCCCCCATTCTGCTCCTCCTCCTCCTCCTCCTCCTCCTCCTCCTCCTCCTCCTTCTCCAACATCCATCATCCTATACTTCTCGGCGCAACAGCAGACGTGCTGGTGGAGTGGGATGGTGACTGTATGGAATAATGGCTGTGAAGCATCAGCATTCTTCTTACATTTACACGTGTGAAGGGCGGATTTGTCTTCAAAGTGCGAATCTCGTCCTAACGTCTCGCTCAGCCATGTCGAAAGCCCACAGCAGTTTCGCGGACGGAGGGTGGGCGGGTTTTAAACGGCTGTTCTCGCCTTCGCGCGGTTTGCTCGTACGTCTCAAACGTTTTCTTGCAGGTGCGCGGGAGGCCCGTTTCCATTTTTGGATCTCACCTAGTTGCCGCGCGCATCCGTGTCAATAATTTGCAGCCGCTAAACGGATCGAGGATGGTCATGCTTTCCCATGTATGCATCGCTCGTGGACCCCCGTCGGCCCCGCGGATTCCGCAGCCGGACTTCTAAATATGTGCAGAGACTGCACGCGTGGAGGACAGCTATTCCTCCAGAGCGCTGCGCCAATCCCAATGCTGCTTCGCTGATGTGACCCGAAGCGGAGCCATTGTACGCATGGAGGGCGATGTCGTCTGGACCCGCACCTCCCTCCTCCCCGTTCTCCTCCTCCTCCCTCTCCCCCTCCTCCTCCTCCTCCTCCTCCTCCTCCTCCTCCTCCTCCTCCTCCTCCTCCTCCTCCTCCTCCTCCTCCTCCGGTCCTCCGTGGACCTCGCTCGAGCGGGGCGCCCGCCCCCGAGTGGCAGGTCCATCGCCGGGGCGATCGCCTCTCTCCAGGTTGCGCCCCCCCCCCCCCCCCGCACAACGAGGAGAGCGAAGGCGCATCAATGCGCAATGAAGGCATCGTTTTTTTCTCCATTGTTTTACCGATCGGCGCAGGCCCTCGCACCCCCCCTCCCCCCCTCCATGGAGTGGGCCTTGTCGGTTTGGGGCGTCTGTTTCGAGCAGGGGCAGGCTCCCCCGAAGGACGCACGGTTCCTATCGGCCGTAGTAAGCGGCGGTGCAGAGCTGCCGAGCTGCCGTATCAGCCGTATTAAAGCCTGCCGAGCTGCGCGAGCAAACGGAGCAAAGATGCTATGACCCAGTGAGAATGCTGACGTGCCACCACATGCCCCTACCTACCACCCTGGCCCGCAGTGAAGAGTCACGCTTGCTGGGGTGGGGAGGGATCCCCGGGACAGACGGGCGTGCGTCAGCAGCGTAACAGAGACGTGCGCGCAGACGATCTCAAACGAGGACCTCGAGAGCGCGCGTCACGCGAGCGATCTGGCGGCACGTTCGTGTGCGTGGCGGGGCACGCACATCTCTTTTTGGGGCTCCCTGGTAGCGCAGCGCAACTGATGCATCCTGGGTTTGCCCTGGCCACTCCTCCTCCTCCTCCTCCTCCGCTTCCTCCTCCTCCTCCTCCTCCTCCTCCTCCTCCTCCTCCTCCTCCTCCTCCTCCTCCCCCTCCTCCTTCTCCTCCTCCCCCTCCTCCTCCTCCTCGTCCGCTTCCTGCTTGACAATTACTCAATATGAAAATACTCTCCCTCTTCCCCTGATGGCGTCCGGGTGATGGCCGCGCACCCTCCGCGTATTGTTTTTTTACACACAGGATCCCCGGGAAATCCCGGGAAACGACTCTCGCTGAGGCGCTGGCGTCATTTTTTCCCAAAATGCTGCTCTCGTTGAGGCGCCGGCCTCATTTCTGCTCCCGAATCGTTCCGAATCGTGCTCCCGCTGCAGCGTGGGCCTCATTTTCGGATCGGTGTTTGGCCTCCGTCGTTCAGGATGGCGTTCTCGCCCCAGCGCGGGCCTTTTTCTCGCGCGCCCATCCGCCCGCCACCACCGCGCCGCACCACCACCACCACCACCACCACCACCACCACCACCACCACCACCACCACCACCACAACCACCACCAGCACCAGCACCAGTACCACCACCACCACCACCAGCACCACCACCACCACCAGCACCACCACCACCATCACCACCACCACCACCACCCACCACCACCACCACCACCACCACCACCACCACCACCACCACCACCACCACCACCACCACCACAACGACAACCACGCACACACGCACGCACGCACGCACGTGCACCACCACCCACTACGCACGCGCGCGCGGAGCCACAGGTCCGCTACGACACGCGTCCGCGGATAGAGAAAATCAGCGCCATGGTAAGGGATGGGAGGGAGGGGTAGGACGTCAGATATGACGCGAGCGCACCTAGCTTGTCCTCCTCCTCCTCCTCCTCCCTCCTCCTCCTCCTCCTCCCTCCTCCTCCTCCTCCTCCTCCTCCTCCCCGTTCTCCTCCTCCTCCCTCCTCCTTCTCCTCCTCCTCCTCCTGCTCCTGCTCCTCCTCCTCCTCCTCATCTTCCTCCTCCTCCTCCTCCTCCTCCTCCTCCTTCTCCTCATCCTCATCCTCATCCTCATCCTCATCCTCATCCTCAGGCTGGCTGTGATGGATAGCTCCTCTGACGAGCTGTGGACGTGCCTTGCCCCCGGAGGGCCCCAGTCTTAGCCCTGCCCCTAGAAGGGGAGGGCCGCCTGCGCCCCCTGCTCTTTGGACTCCTCCTCCTCCTCCTCCTCCTCCTCCTCTCCTCCTCCTCCTCCTCCTCTCCCTCTCCCTCTCCCTCCTCCCTTCCTCCTCCTCCTCCTCCTCCTCCTCCTCCTCCTCCTCCTCCTCCTCCTCCTCCTCCTCCTCTCCCTCTCCCTCTCACCAGGATGGTTCCCTCGGGGCTGGTTTGTTTGCTCCGCTTTGGGCGCCGTGGCCCCAAACGCCCCAAAGTGGAGAGTACGGCATCTTTGCGGCTGTCGCACGCATGCTGGCTGGCCCAATTAATATTGATTCGGATTGCCAGAGTGTAGCTTGCCATTCGCAATTGGCCAGGCAGCAGGCCTTGTCGCACAAGCGTATGCATGCTGGTTTCACGCTCCAGGCGCGCATAGGAGATCTTTCAAGTGTGCAGGCAGTCATCAAGGTGTGCGCTCACCAGGAGCTTGATGAATCACTTCCTGCTCGCGAGTATTTGTTGAGGCTTGGGAACCATCACGCGGACCGTATGACCAACCTCGGGAGGGAGCAGCACCCCCTACCGAGCCCAGCTGAAGCGGACGCGATTTCGAGGAAGGTTTCCATTGCGCGCTTGGTAGCGAAGTTAGCCGCGCGTTTATTGCCCCTGTGGCCTCGTCTGGACCTTCAGGATGTCGAATGGTTGGCCCCAGTGTCGGCCGCTTCTGGCCGCCAGGAAGGCCTAGCCCAAAACTGGGTCCAGTTCAGGCAGTCCCAGCCTCCAGCCTCCAAGTGCCCAGGTGCCGACGGCTTGCGAGGCCTAAAGGCGGAAGATTTGTCGCACCTAGGGCACACCATTGTTGCGTACGGCTGCTCGGATGGCTCCTTTGTTGCCGTGTGCACTCGTTGCAAGCTTGATTCGTCTGGTGGCAGAGTGCGAGGACTGCGAGAGCGCTGTCCCGCGGAGCCTGTTAATTTGAATGGTCACTCCATGCGCGGGCGCAGGCGCTGTTGGAATCGTATTGTCAAGGGGCTCCATCCCAAGGAGGGTGAAATTACCTTGCAGCATGTGGACCTGACGGCCGAAGGCACACTGGAAGCCTCTCCTCTCGTTGAGCCTCCTCCCGAGCCCCCCTCCTCTCAGGGGCAGGCCGAGAGCCCAGGCCAGGTGCTTCTTAGAGTTGCAGCCGAGTTAGCACATTACCGCAACACCGTGGTGCGGCCTGCGCAGGCCATCTACGGGCCAGTTTCACAGGCGAGCTGCAGTGGCCGATCGGCCACGCGCGTCTCGCAGGCACCAGTGTCTGTAGCGGGAGCTGCGACTGACGCCTCACTCTCGCCCCCACATTGCGCGGCACCCAGCTATTCGAAATCTACGGCGTTCAGGACGTCGCGCGGCAGTGCGAATTTCTCTCGTAGCAGCGGTTTGTCCAGGCTTCCTGTCCAGTCCCCGTTGCCTGGGGCGGGGCATTCTTCAGTCAGGCAGCTCGTGCAGTCCACGCTGTCTGTGGATGGACATTTACACCCCGACAGCCTCGAGACGGAGGACGAGATGGCTCGTCTGCTGCTCGGCGCTTCCGAGGGGGAGGAGGTGGTCGCCAGGTCTTCGTCG